TCAGAAGGGTTATGGCTTGCAGGGAGTTACGGAAATGTGACAATGAGCTAATCTATGGGAAGGGTGATATGGGGCTCAAAGATGAGCCCCAGGCTCCTCCTGGGGAGGAGATGACGCTGAGCTGAGCATCAAAACATAAAAATGGGGTGCTGGGAGAGACACTGTGCTCCAGACAGAGGAAACAGCATTTGCAAGGGCAGGAAATAGCATAATGCATGCAAGAAGTAAAGAGAAGTCTGTGTTTATGACGAAGGGCTGGCCATGGATGAGGCTGGTGAGGAAGGTGGAGGGCTCATACACCAAGCACAAAAGCTTAGTCTTCATCTTTCTAGGAACAGCCAATTTTCTTAAATGCACAGCACCCATTCACAAAGGGTCATCTCAAATGTCACCTCCTCCAGGAAGCCTTCTCTGACTTCTCCAGAATGAAGCACTTTCTCACTCATGCTCTCTGACTAATGAGTTTCTACTTCTATTATACAGCACATGCTCTAAACCTTTGTTTAAACGACTATTGCCACCACTAGACTGGAGATCAAGAATGATTTTCTATCCAATTGTAGATCCCCAGAAATTAGCAGAAGACCTGGGATACTCAGATGCTTAATACATATTTTATGGATCAGTGAATGGGAGCAAATTGGGGTCAAATGATCTACTCACTCCCTGATACCTGCCTCCATTCTGAACTCTCAGTTTAAATGCATAAATATTGATCTATATCTCTATTCATCAGTTTCTTCATCTATATAATGAGAAGAAGAATACTCTAAGGATTGTTGTGGAAAGTAAATGATGGAAGTGTAGATGCTATGGCACAACTTAGCATGTAAGCATCCTGTAAAGGTTAGTTTCTCTTCTCTTTCATTTGACTCACATTTATTAGTCACCTGCTATGTGCCAGGCATTGTTATAGGCACTGGGTTTAAAACAGTGAACAAAAGAAATTCCCTGTCTTCATAGGACAACTTCTCTTTGGGTGAGCTAGATAATCAATAAACAAGTACACGCATAGCCTGCCGGATGGAGATGAGAGGTGTGGAGAACGATAAGCCAGAATGAAAGCGATCAAGAGCACCAGGAGTCAGGGAGGGAGAGGGCTCGCTGTTTCATGTAAGGTAGTCGTCAGATGACCTTGATGGTGAGATGACAGTTGAACGGAGACTTGAGGCAACCAATGTGGACACGTGAAGGAAGAGTGTCCGAGGCAGGGTCACATGTTAGGTGCACAGCAAGGAGGCCAGTGTGGCTGGAACAGAGTGAGCAGGAGAGGTGGCTGACTTGGCGGGGATCTGTTTTGAGCAGCGCTGGCAGACTGTGGGGAAGACTTTGAGTGTTCGTTCTGAATGACAGAGAAAGACGCTGGTGGCTTTTGAGCAGAGAAGTGGCATGATCTGATTTTCATTTTAAATGGAAACTGGCTGCTGGTTTGAGCACAGACTGAAAAAAAAGTGGGAAGGAGGGAAGAAGGCGGGAGGCTCTTGCACTAATCCAGGCAGGAGACAGTGGGACTGGGGCCAGGGCGGAAACAGTGAGGGGGAAAGAAGCTGGGTCTGGCCAGGATTCTGAAGACACCATGGGTGGAGAGTGTGAGAGAAAGAGAGGAGTTGGGGGTTCCCACCTTATTTAACTGGAGCAATTGAAGTGTGGATTTGCCCTTTAATGAGATGAAAAGTCTGCCTTGCATGTGTTGTGGGGCAGAGAGAACAGAATAATGTTCTTGAAGAACTTTTAACATATTGAACGGGGGCGAACTACTGGCTGTACAGAAGGAGGGACGGCAGAAGATAGCCATCGACAAAAGAACAGACCAGCAGACACTGCAGCAGTACGGACGAGAAAGGCTATGGGTGGTCAGGATGGGGGCAGTCCATGCAGACCCAGTTCTAAAACTGCCCGCCTCGAAGGCCACCTCCTTGCCAAATCCAGTGACGCTTTCTCAGGCCTCCTTGTCCTTTAACTGAAGATCACATCTGACACTAGTGTCTACCCTGCTCCAGTGACACCCCCAGGCTTCCTTGCTGCTGCCCTCCTCTCCCGCTGTGTCCTCCAGTTCACTGTGTCCTCGTCCTTCAACCAGTCATCAAGCAAAGGCTGCTCCTGAGCCCTCACTCTGCTCTCTGGCTCTGAGAGTGGTTCACACACACAGGCACACACACAAATGCCCAGACACACACAGGCATACACGTGTATGCACACACACACACATGAGAGCACATACATGGATTTTATCCACATGAATGCCTGACTCTCAAATCTCTATCGCTAGAGCTGACCACTCTCCTAGGGACTTTGATTTCAACTGGACAACTCCTTTGGACATCCAGCTGTCACCTCACGTTCAAGCTTGCTAGTACCTTCCCCCTCCTTTGGCTTTTCATGCCACCTTGTTCATTGTCGTCAGGGGCATCACGGTTGGCCCAGCACTCTGATTCCAAGCGCTAGGTTCATCTTTGGTTCCCTCCTCCTCTCATATATATGTGTGTATACATGAAATGCTCCCTTATGTCCTATGGCTGAGTGTCTGCAGCACCACATGGTGGCCCTGCCTCTAGCTTCACTGTCTGGCCAGCCCTCTAGAAGGCCAACACCAAACTGACCCACCGAAAGCATGACCCTTACTAATTCACTTTCCTGTTCAAAAACTCCCAGTGGGTTCTCGTGTCTAACAGGGCAGAGTTCCAGTTCCTCAGCCTGGTGTTTACTTCTCTCCACAGTCACGTCTCACCCTTCACTCTCAGAAAGCCCCAATACTCCACTTGAGGCAGGTGGTGGAGGGGTCTAGCAATTCTTGGTATCTAGTTTGTGCCATTTTTTATCTCATGTAATCTGCACAACAGCCTTGCAGGGTAGATATTAACCTGTTTGTGTAGCAGATGAAGACAGGGACTCTTTCCCTTTCTTTCTTTCTCTTTCTTTCTGTCTTTCTTTTCTCTTTCTCTTTCTTTCTTTCTCTCTTTCTTTCCTTCCTTCTTTCTTTTTGAGACCGACTTTGCTCTGTTGCCAGGCTGGAGTGTAGTGGCACGATCTTGGCTCACTGCAACCTCTGCCTCCCAGGTTCAAGCGATTCTTCTGCCTCAGCCTCCTGAGTAGCTGGGATTACAGGCGTGCACCCCCATGCCAAGCTAATTTCTGTAGTTTTAGCAGAGACAGGGTTTCACCATGTTGACCAGATGGTCTCCATCTCTTGATCTCGTGATCCGCCTGCCTCGGCCTCCCAAAGTGCTGGGATTACAGGTGTGAGCCACCGCACCCGGCCTGAAGTGGTCTTTTCATAAGACTGACTCCTGGAAGTCACAGAGCTAGTGAGTAGCAGACTGGGGACTGATGCTCAGCCCTTTTTTTACTTTCAAGCCCACACCTTTCTCATCTCACCACACTGTGTCCTCCTTGCACACTCATCTTTCCACTGTGGAGGGCTGGCCCTTGTCTTCTACTCACTGGCAATGCCCTGCCATGCTGCCTCTACACCCAACCCTGTCCCCTAACTCCTGCCTTCCTCTACAACCCAATTCCAAGGTCTCCTTTCTCCTCCAAGCCCGACTTCTCCCAGCTTCTCTACTCAGTACTGACTTCTTTCTTTTCATGCGGAAGTCAGTTTCTCTCTGTACCTCTCTTCCGGCCACCTAGCTATAGAATGTCTTCCCCAGCTCTGGTTCATGCCTTTTCATCAAGTTCCATAAGATCAGAGCCTTATCTCAGGCTTCTGGATGTCCCAGAGGAGATACCCCATAAATACTTGTGGAAAGGAAAACACAGTAACAACGGGTCCCTTAACAGGAATATCAAAAACAACTTCAAGAGGGAATCATTTGTGTTTCTGCTTAATGTGTTAATTTCCTGTCATTAACATGGAAATAACTGTCTGAAATGACAAGTTAAATAGAATAGTGATGTCAGGAAGTTTTGATATTTAAGTAAAACATTGTTATAACATTAGTGGCAAAATCTACAACAGAGTTCAGTTGAGACTTCCTTCCTAACACGGGCTTTCATTGCTCAAAAATGTTCCAAAGCATTCTGCTTTTTTTTCCCTCCTTCAATTAATGTTGGGAGAAATAAGATTAAAGGTAATATCTACAGCCATTTTGGGGACATTTGAGAAAGCGGTAAGAGGGAGATGGGAGATGCTGCATTTCCCCTGGGATCAAGTGTGTATGTGAGTGTCAACGACTTCAACAAAAAGGAACTTCACATGAGGCTGATCCCCAGTGAGGACTGATTCTTCCCAGAGCTTAAAGAGAAAAGATTTGCAAAAGACAAACAGGGATGTCTTCTGGAGAGGCTCAAGCAATAACGACTTAGATGCCCAGAGGGTTAGATGGCAAGCCTGCCAGGTGCAAGGCCCCGGGTGTCTGTCAGGCCAGACAAAGAACAAGGAAACAGACTGTTGAAAAAGGAAAATCTCTTCCTGAGAAAGAAATTCCAGTAACATCTAACACCGCGGTGAGCTCCCCAGGGACAGGAGAGCCACTCTCTGCTTCTCCAACCTCCTTCTGAAAAACACTAAGAGAAATCAGAGGGAGGGAGAGCTACATTTCACTCACTTGCCCCATTAGTCATCCACCTGCCCACATACATGGGTTTGCCTAAAAAAATTAACACTTGTTCTGTGATTAAGTAATTAGAAGAATATGGTAAAGAATTTAAGCAGTATGAATTATAATAGATATGTATATGTTTGTGTGTGTGTGCGTGTGTGTGTGCGGGTGTGTGTGTGTGTATATATAAATATTTCTACTTCTGATCCTGAATCCCCCATTCATCCACCCCACCCCCAGAGGCAATTACTGTTATAATTTGTATGTCTGCCTCTCAGGGAGATTCTATGCACATACAGGCATGTGTGGTTTTGACATAAATGGGAACACACTCTGCCACGCTGTTCAACATCTTGCTTTTTCCCTTTGGAGTTGGCCTGTGAACAAGCTTAGGTGGTCCAGCCTGACTGTGACCCTCCCCCCAAAAAACCAAGCCAAATAACACACACAATCTCCTACTTTGTGGGTTCTGGTTCTCCGGGTCCCCCACTTCCACACTGCACATGCACATCAAGAAGTGATGAATGTCTCGTCTCGAACAGGGGTGCTTCCTCTCTTTTAGGGCAAGCACTTCTCAGGTACAGGGCAATGTGGACACGGTCTGAGGGAAACCCCAGCCTTCTCTCTAGGACTGCAACATTCCTGATAGACAGCAAAGGGAAGAGAGAAAGGAAGGGGTGCTGGCATCATGAATGAAAGCTGCCTTCCCACGCATGGCTAGACCTGCTCTATTCCATCAGTCCTCAATGCAGCACCCACTAGGAACCCAGCCCTGCAGCAGCCGAGGATGCACAAATGTATCTTGCCTTTAAAGAAAACAGAGGCAGTGCCCCCCGAACACAGAATCAACATTACTTCCGGAAAGAGTTCCTGGGCCGGGTGCAGTGGCTCACACCTCTAATCCCAGCACTTTGGGAGAGCAAGGCGGGCGGATCACGAGGTCAGGAAATTGAGACCATCCTGGCCAACATGGTGAAACCCCATCGCTACTAAAAATACAAAAAAGGTAGCTGGGCATGCTAGTGCGCCTGTAGTCCCAGCTACTCAGGAGGTTGAGGCAAGAGAATTGCTTGAACCTGAGAGACGGAGATTGCTGTGAGCCAAGATCACGCCACTGCACTCAGCCTGGTGACAGAGCGAGACTTTGTCTAAAACAAAGAAGAGTCCCCTGAACCTGGACCAGATAGGGTCAGCCCCCTCACCCCCACCTCACCCAGCACTGCACCAGAGGGAACCCAGTGTGAAGGCTGACACTAGCTCGTCTCCTGCTGCTGCCACCACTACTCCAAAAAGACTCATTAAAGCTTTGTCCCTGACTTTCTGATTTACATGTACAAATAATCGCTGTCAGGGGCAAGAGCCCCAGAGAGCAATAATAGATTCTGGGGGTAGCAGATGCAGACACAGGAAATAAAAACAAAAATGAAACACACCAGCCTGGCAGAACTCGATGCTGAGAGACATACTAAGCGGGGAAGAAAGGCCTGCTGGGGAGGCGGGCCAGAGAGGGGCTACCAGATGAGGTATGATTGGTGGGTCTTCTGCACAAACTAGCCTAGGATTTTAAAAAATTGTGGTAACATGTCCATGACATAAATTATACTATTTCACCATTAATGTGAAATACATATCGTACATAAATGTCCGATTCAGTGACGTCATTACATTCAGACTTTTATGCAGTCGTCACCACTCTCTTCTCAAAACTCCTCCATCACCCCAAACAGAATCTCTGCACTCTTTAAAACAGTAATTCCCCATCTATACCTCCTCCCAGCCCTTATTAACCTTAATCAACTTTCTTCTCTATTTGTTTGTCTGTTCTAGCTATTTTGTATAAGTGGAATCATACAATATTTGTCCCTTTTTGTCTGTCCTCTTTCACTTAATATGTGTTTTTAAGGTTCATCCATATTGTCGCATATTTCAAAACTCCATTCCTTTTGATGGCTGAATAATATTCCACTCTATGGATACACCACATTTCCCTAACCCATTCATCAGTTGATGAGTACTTGAGGTGTTTTTGCCTTTTCTGCCATAAATAATGCTGCTATGAATATGGGTGTACAAATATCTATTTGTGTCCCTATTTCTGAACCTGTTGGGATCCTATGCAGGGATGAAATTGCTGGCTCAAATGGTAATTCTATGATTCAGTTTTGGAGGAACCACCAAGCTGTTTTGCACAGTGGCTAGCCTAACATTTAAGAAGACGGCTCAGCCTGCACTCTAGGAGACAGAGTTGTTCTGTGCACCTTGGTCCCGGGAGCTCACATAGCACACTCGAGCCTGCCTGCTGCCTGGCCTGGAGTAGAAAGAAGGGGATGAGTCCAGAGCTGAGGAGCATTAGAATAAAGTCTAGTGGGACTGGCTCTCCATACAACTCCCCAGTGTACCCACCCAGCTCCTGGGAGAAGGCTCGTTGTAAACCTGCAGCATGGGGAGCAGTGATTTTTAGGGTCTACCCCTCTGCCTCCCACTTTACATGCAAGGAAAGTGAGGCCCAGAAAGCTGATGACAATTGATTGAAGTCTCATGACCCTGTCCCCTGTTCTTTCTGCAGTACCAGCCTGCCAGAGCTGGGTCTGGGAAAAATGGGGCAGCTCAGGACGAGAAGTGGGAAGAGACCCCCTCGGTGCTCTGCCTCTGCCATTGCCATGACATGGTATCAGGGCACAGTTCTGCATCTGTTTCGGCTCCCTCTGCTGGAAACATTCGTATCCCATCAGCTTCTCCTAGTTAACTCCTACTCACCCTTCTAGGCTCAGCTCAGCTGTCATATCTGCATTCCCCATTTGACATCCTGCTCTGTCTCCTCAGCGGAGGTGGGTGCCCTCCTCTGGCTCCCACAGAACCTCAGGTATTTACTCTCAAGGCTATTACCACAGGCGTCTTGTTATTTTCAGGTTACTGACCCATTTCTCCACCACACTTCGGGCATCCTGAGGACAGAGAATGAGCATTTTATCTCTATTCCTGCCACTAGGACAAGCCCCAGGACATAGTGTTTGTTGAATGAATGTATTACTGAGACTAAAGAATGAAAGAACCTCACACTCCACATTACCATGCTGCCTAATGAATATTTATTAACTGAATGAATGAATAAGTGAATGGATTAATGGTGTCCCAAGGCCTGAATCGAGCTTGTGGAGTACACTCTTGGATCACGGTCAAGTCCTCACTCACTCACCCATTTATTCATTCCTTTATTACAGTCACTGCTGTGTCTAATCTAGAAGGAACTCTGATTCAGATGCAAAAAAACCCTCAGTCTCTGTCTTCGGGAAGCCCACAGAAAAGTAGATGGAGACAGAAGTAAACAAGAAGTGTGCTTCAAGCCATTCCATGTCCCCAAAAGCACACAGGGACTTGCATCACATCAAAAACCTGACCAAGGCCGTCTCTGCTCCACCAGTTGCTGGGCAGAGCTGGCTTTGGGAGGGGTGGCCAATTAGCATGCTGCAACACCTGTCTGCGGCTGCTCCAAGGATACAGGAGCTGGAGAATTAACAACCGGGAGGATTTTTGGAGCTCCCAGAACCCAGCCCAGCTCACATCAGAGACCTCACTCCCCTTTAGGGATTCATTCGCTCCGCGCAGCTGGTTAATTTTTCATCAGGAGGTGGGGGTGGGGCTGGGAAGGAGCTCTGATCCTCTGCTCTTTTATGCTGGGGTGGGGGTGAATACAACATCCTATCCATTTTATTTTATTTTTTTAGATGAAATAGAAACAGATTGTGGTTGTCAGGAAAGACCCAGCCCTCACAGGGCTGCTGCTGCTGCTGCTGTGGGCTGATTAACAGTTATTGGGCAAAGGATGAAACCTCCAGGCTGCACCGGCCTCCGGTGAAGGTGCTTACATGGTTAATGAGCACCGAGTGACACGCTAGTGGTGAGCAGCATTTTAGAACAGCAATTTAAGGCTCTAGTCTTCTGCCCCGCCTTTATCTCCTCTTCCATCAGGACCCGGCTGGGCTAACCCCTGCTCTGGCCTGGGTAACATTTTTTTTTTTTTTTTAAGGAGTACTCTCTTCCTCTATGGAGACTCCAGCTGCAACTCCAGGGCCACTAATCAAATCTGATCCAGAGCCTGAAAGCTCAGGGATGAGAGTGAAGTCTCTGTTTTCTCATCCAATAAACTGGAAAGGGAATAAGAAAATGACCCTGATATGTAAATAAGGCTAGAGGTAGCAAAGTGCATACATGATCTCACTTGATCCTCCTTCAAAGCATTTACCAAAGACCTTCTAGATGCCCCAAATTCAAAGGGACCTCAGAAGATCTGTGGAGCAGAAACTATCATTCCCATTTTGGAGAATACTAAAAAATAATGTTGCATTGTCTACCCAGATCACAAGGTGAGTCAGTGGTGGAGGTGGGAAGAGAACAATATCCAACCATAGCACATGGCATGGAGTCAGTCATGAGGGGATACTCATCTCCTTCTCCCCATTTCCGGTCTCATTCCACTGTGGAGTCTCCCACCTGAGAGCTAAGATTTCCCCTGGACAACAGGGCCCCGGTCCGCTATGGGTTCAGCTTGAAGGCTGAGGATTTCCTGACACTGCCCATCCTCCAGAGGTCTCTACATCGCAGCAGCTGGGAGAGATGGTCTCAGGCCAATGAAATGGTAAAAGGCACCTGCTATGTGCTTTGCACTGCGCTGTGTTGTTCTATGTTATGTGCAAGACACATAAGACAGGGTCCCCTTTCTCAAGAAGAAGGTGATTTTACTGTGGAAACAGAACCTACACAAATGAATCCGACAGAGTGTGTTTTGCAACAAATATCAGTGCTTCTCCATCTATGAGATACGTACGAAGCATCTGGGGATCTCACTTAAACACAGATTCAGTTTCAGGGGGTCAGGGTTGAGTGGAGACATGCTAAGGTATTTCTCACAAAGTTCCCTATGATGCTGGTCCTGCTGGTCCTCAGACCACACTTGGAGTAGCAAGGCTGGGGATGGTGCACAATGTGAAAAGCCAGAGTTACTGCGGTGGTCAGCAGTGCTTCCTAGAGGAGATGCGCTTATGCTGGTTCCAAGGAGGGGAGGGCCTCAAGTTGGGAAGGAAAATCAACAAGGCAGAAATAAAAAGGTGACTGCGATCTTTAACAGGTGCTCTGCAGGGCCGATGGGCCATGAGGACACAAAAGAACTTATGGGAGAACAAGCTGTAGCTGGGAGTGGGAGACAGGGTCTTCAGTTCTGACTGTGTGACCTCAGGCTGACCACGGCCTCCATCCACAAGTGTCTGTGATGGAGGAGAGCTCCGTGGTTCTCAACATGGGCAGCACATCAGAACATCTGGGAAGCTTTTAAAATAAAACAATGCCAGGACCCCTCCCCAAGTGAGTTTTATATAGTGATCTCGGGTAGACTCAGGCCCAGGTAGTTTTCAAAAGCTCCCCAGGGATTCTCATGTGCAGCCTGGGTTGAGAACCCTCACATGGTGCAAGCTCTAAGGACTGTTCTAATTTCCTCATCTTTTCATTTGGACAGAAATGTCCAGGACTCCCAGCTTCTGTTCCTGGGCATGTGGCTTGGAGCGAAAAAACAGTATCAGAGAACTCCTGAGAAAAGCTTCACCACAATGCCAGAAATCTGAGCGTTTCTCTGGTGGAGGCCAGGTGGAGGGGCTGTCCTGCCCATCTGGTTCCCATTAATCCCAGGGCATGTTTCACATCCCTGGCAGGTACTTGGAGCTGGGAGCAACCCTCTGCCCCCTGGGTGGCCCTCAGCAGGGGCCTTTCAAGCCAAGCCCTGCTGACAGGCTGCAGGGCTCTGTGGGCCACCCCCCACCCCCGGCTTCCAAGTCGCTTGCCCCCACTTGGGGATAGAATCCCTGGACAAATTAGAAACCAAAGAAGGCAGACGCAGAAGCCTGGCCTTTCTTTCATTAGCAGTCTGTCACAAAGCGTGAAGGGCTT